GAGTCGTTCCAAAATGCTACGCGAACACGCACAAACGTTAATCACAAGGGTCACAAGGGGGCTTACCGCTTCCAGCCTAAAAAGAGACGATTCTTATCAATCCCATTCCCCCCAATGATCATTCGACCCCAAAAATGAATATGTAGAAATCATAAAAACCGGGTGCGTTTGAGCAGGGATTCTTATACATCCAATTCTTGGGCGCTCCTCAGATATTTTGTTGCCACATATGTGGGACGCATATCCACGGCTCCACGGTCAGTGACGCCACGTAGGAAGGACAGAGCCATATCCTCGATGTCAGGAAAGGACCACTCCCACAGTGAGTTGAGATGATTCTCTATACCCAACTTGGAGGTGCAGTTGGGGTTGTTAAGATGTTCAATCATGGCAATTCCACCCACCCATAAGTTGGGATATATCCATCCATATATATATATATACCGTATATATATGGTTGTTGATCAAAATTTCTTTAACCCGGAACGGCCATTCTTCGCGAATAAAAATTTTACTTTCGCGAAACTTTCGCGAACTCCATGTTTATCTTTCGCGGGGCCCATGTTGGCCAACAACGCCTCTTATGAAGATTCGTTCGCCACCTGCCAAATTACGCCAGAGAATCACGGATCACTTCTTGGTAGCCTTTTAAACATGCAGCTAGCATCACGGAATCCCTTTCAGGACAATTTTTTTTGCAAAGTTTACTGGCCCACCCCCTTCAACATGCACTTTGACTTTCACCCGCTCTTTCGCATAACTTTCGCGGAACTTTCGCGAAAATATCCCTATTCAAAGACCCCGGCCATCAGCAGGGGGTGCACTGAAGGAAAAGCGAAGACCAGGGGCCTTGGTGTTTGGCTCTCGCAAAGCCTCACTTTTGGAAACTTGGCTACTGCTACTCGCATTTTCTGGTGCCCTTCTCCTGCCGGACCCCGGGCGGCAGTGGGTGGCAGCCCTTTACATATAATGATTATAATACCCAACTTTCGCGAAACTTTCGCGAAATAAAATTTTACTTTCGCGAACTCGAAAAAAAACTTTCGCGAGGGTTTCCAACATAACACGCACGGCTTTCGCAATTAAAACTCCTTACAAGGACCTTTAGATCGATCACCATATATATATATTTATTTATTTATGTACATATGGATATACATCCCTCATAACCATGGTTCTATATTAGATTTCAACTGGAAATGCACCTCCAAGATCCTCCAAGTATTTGGGCCCAATCAAAGCTATGGGCCCAATGTCATATCATCCACCAATTTGATCACCAAGTCTCAACCGTCCAGACAATGGCCACCAAGAGGTCTCCCTCGGATGACACCATCTGAGGCACGTGATGATGGCCCCATTTTTTGAATCTGGAATTTTTGAAAGATGGGACAATGTCATCATTTCACCATCTTATTTAACCATCATTCTTTTCCATTTTGTTTCTTATGTTTTTTGGCAGTTTGAAGTCGAGTTTTCCCAGCCATCGCATTGGCCAAAGGCCAGGTTTGTCGAAACCTACAAACTTCGTGGTTGATCATCATGGTCCTGGAACTTTGTGGTCGAAAATGATGATCACCATTATATAATTCGTATACCATCATTTTCAATATAATCACTAATGATATTATATAATGAGTATATACTCTAGTATACCATCAACTAATTATATAATTATATAATTAGTATCCCCCTAAAATTAAGTGTATAAGAACCCCCGCCCCATTTTTTCCATTATAAAATGACAAATGCACCACACCAAAGTTTACAAAATGGCACTTGTAGGACCTACAGCAATATATGGCAATGGATTTAGCAAAGAATAACGGCTTATAAAATGCGACTCCCAGTTTCCAAAATCATCCAAAATCAGCATGAAAATCTCTTACGGCGTCCCGGCATCCTGACCTAACTTTTTGTACAGAATTCGAAACTCATTTTATGAAGCGGGAGTGGAAATTCTACTAATTTGGTGTCCCCGAGAAGGGAGTCATTTTATAAGGCACCTCCAGGGCATCTTATAAGAACAAAACCTGTGCAAACCTGATTTCTCCGGGTATGTTTTTCTCAGTTTCTGCTGGTAAAACCTCTAATTTTCAAAAGAAATTGTTCATATGGGGATGGGTCAAAACCCTGGTACCTAGTGAACCCCAAAATAGCTGGTAAATGGATGTTCATCCCACTAAAAATGGTACTTATAGGTATTGATCCATAGCCATATTGCAAAGATTTGCAAAGTAAGTGTACCTGTTAGAGCAGTGAAGCTGTGGGGGTGAGCGTCAGGAACTGCAGTTCCAAGCGCCTCCGGGAGACACGTTCCGGAGCGTTACAACGGGGAGACACAACGGGGAAACCATAACGGGAAAATGATGCAAATTTAAAAATGTCACTTTTATAGTTGGTAAACCTGCTTTTGTAACATATTGAAATTGTAAATTGTGCATATGTGTTCAATGGTTCGATATTTTTAAAAAAATAGATTTCTATCCATAAATTATATCCACAATCAGTTTTAAACCATTCAGTGGTTCATTCCCAAGGTATTGGAATGAAATGTTAAAAGATTATTTTTCAAAATATGTTTGTCAAAATATGCTATAAAATGACATTTCTATCCATAAATTATGTCCACAATCAGTTTTAAACCATTCAGTGGTTCATTCAGTTTTATGACCCCGCCCCCACTTTTTCTCCTGACGAGATAACCCATGTTAGTCATTTTATAGCCCCAGAAAAAAGGGGTCGTGTATAAAATGATGGTTTTTTGGGGCACCCGTTATTTAAAAAAAAAACGTAGAATTTTATAAGCCATGTTTTTTAAAAAAGAACGGGGGACGGGACCCTATAAAAATTGGGTCCCGCCCCCCGGGTGGCGGGATTTAATAAGAGAAATTAAAAGGGGAATTAATTAGTATACCATCAATCACTAATTAGTTGATGATCACCATTACTGAAACTTAGGTGTTCAGGTCAGATACTAATTAATTAATGCTCATGAAAATAAATTCAAGTGCAAGTTGGGCATTTTATGGCTATGCCGTTGACCGTTTTTTTAAGACACACCTTCTCCCATGGGACACCTCGAAAAAGCATCACACCCTCGCAATCCGCGTGGCAGTTGCGAGCACGTCACTCTGGAAGTTGAAGACCTGTCGTGCAAACGGCAGGACAACTTCGATGGCTAGATGAAGTCTGTGATATATCCCATTCCCTGTTCATATTCAACACCAGAAACCATGGTTTTTCATAGGGGATGATGTCCCATATTCTTGGGACCATTGGATAGGGGACTCAGATTCGATGGGATCGTTTTTAGGGAGATACGGACTCACCATTACCTCGCAAGATTGATACAGTACCGCCCCCCACCAGGCTCACCATCAAGGATTTCGATCCATGGAACCCATCATGGGAATCTGCAGAGTCACCCATTCGCTTCCCAGGGCTTTGGAACATGGGAGTAGTATGGGAGTAGTATGGACTATGGCAACAGGGGGACCATCCCATAATTCATTGGGGTCACAAAAAAATTACACCTGCATCATCTGCCTGCAGCGGCAAGGTGATCATGTCATAAAAGACAAAGAGAACCGTCACGAAGTCCCAGAGAACCGAGGCCTCAATGACTATGCTGACCCAAGGCCGACTCTTGGGAAATCTGCAGAAAACGTATGCAGTACATGGATTTTACCCATGGATCCACGGATTTGAGCAGCCAAGATAGTATTGCATACATAAATGCATATATATATGTTGAAGCCAGTTTCCATCTTGCATGCATCCAGTGGTCACTTCCGCATGTCATCTTGCGATCGTGGAGGACACTTTCCGGCTCAGGGAGGAAAAGGTCCGTCTCATGCCCCGGCGGGCGATTCTCTGGTGAGTGTTTTGTCATTGGTAGCGGAGCCAGGTACAAATCCTGGCTCCGGGTAGGTACCCGCTGCCATGGCATCGGATGGAAGCTCTAGTGACCTTGGAGGTCATCGTATCTTCACTGGGAATGGCGAAGATCCAAAGGAATTTCGTAGGTGGAAAGCCTGGGTTAGTAGCAAGTTGTTGACATTGTCGTCGAAGATGCCTGATGAAGCCAAAGGTGCATTCATTTACACTCTTCTAGCTGGAAAAGCCCTTGAAGCAGTTGAACATTTGGATGCATCTTCGTTTCAGAAAGAAGGTGGTGACAAGGTCATCCTAGATCTGCTGTCAAAGCGTTTCCCCGAAAAGGACGCCTCAGATGAGATGTCAGAGAATCTGACTGACATTTTCAATTTGCGTGCCAACGAGGGTGAGTCTCTCAAAGCCTGGATCAGCAGGGCCTCTGAGGCCTTCGACAAACTGCAGAGGAAAACCAATGTGAGCTTTCCGGAAGAGGCTCGTGGATGGGTGATACTCCATCGTGCTGGTCTTACAAGTGAACAACAAGCTGTGGTTCTGGCTAGGTCTTTGGGAGTGTTGAAACGTGAAGAGATTGGCAAAGCAATGAGGAGCTGCTATCCAGAATTTAGCTGCCCCAAACGTCGTGCTTTCGGTGCTGGGATTGTCGATGAAGATGATCTGGAACTGGCAGAAGTGGATGACGAGGGTTCAGTTTTTGGTGATGTGGAACAATTTTTGGCCGAGCATCAACAAGGTGATGATTCTGAAGCCTTCGAAGAAGCCGACGTCGCTGAGGCTCTTGCAGTTACCTGGCGAGAACGCCGTCAGGATCTCAATCGCCTTCAAAAGGCCAGGAAGTTTCATGATGCTTCCCGGATGAAGCGGCAGTTCAAGATCGAAGTTCAGGAGTTGAAAAAGAAGACACGCTGTCACAGGTGCAATCAGATTGGACATTGGTCGAGGGAATGCCCCCGACCAAAGGGCTCTGGGAAGGGAACCTCCTCTTCAAGTGGAAAAGGTGGCAACAAAGAGGATACCGGCGCTGCAGTGGTCGAACACTTTGTGGCCGCTGTCACAACAATTCCCATGGGTTCTGAGTTCTCTGGGTTGTACCGTGAGGTCATGGGTCGCCTTCGAAGTAGTTCAACATCGAATGTACATGAGCAGCTGTTAGTGTCCAGCCCAGGATACGGTATCCTGGATTCTGGGTGTGGGAAATCAATCATTGGCAGGGACACCTTTGAGGAGTTCAAACAGATTTGGAAGAAACAACAGGTTGAGCCACCAGTAGCTTTTGCTGAAGTTAGTCATTTTCGTTTTGGAAATGGTGCTCGTGAGACTTCAAGTGAAGCTGTGAAGATCCCGGTGGTCATTGCTGGTCGGTCTGGCACAATTCGTGCTTCTCTGGTGCATGGGAAGGCACCCCTGTTGATTTCTAGGAAGGCTCTTCAGTCCTTGCATGCAAAGATTGATTTTTCTCGCAATGAACTTTGTGTCTTTGAGGATGAGCTGAAAGTTCCCCTTGGGACAAATGCTGCTGGCCAGTATGTGCTTCAACTTTTGGAGCCTTCGGTCGATGATGTTGGCAGTTTTGATGAAGTCATGTTATCTGAACCGAGTGAGCCAGCAACTGTAGCTGCCGATCAACTGCAAGAAGGTGCTGAGGATTGCCTCAGTCATGCATCCGTGCCGTCTGGTCCCAAGCCTTGTCCGAGCGAGATGCCCTCCACAGCCGTGGAGTCAGGACCGGAGAGTCTGTCATCCTGTGTCTGGTCCCGGGTTGATCATAACCTTAAGTGGGTTCCCCTAAGTGGTAAGCAGGGTCCGTATTGGCATCAGGTTCATCGTAGAGAAGTCACTGACCTAGACACCAATAAAATAATCCTTGACCAAGAGATAGACCCCACTAAAGATAAGAGACACTACATGACACCTCTTCCCAAGCACACCATGCATGTTCGCACCGAGTTGTGGTTCCGGCCTCAGGAGAAGTCATGCCCGACTGAATGCCTATCAGTCCACCAGCAACGACAGCTGAAGTCCCAAGTGAAAGCCCTGTCCAAGACTGCCTTTCATCAGGGCAATCGACTCTTAGTGGCCGAAGTGTTTAGTCCGCCAAGGTTTGCACCAGCCGCCAAAGAGCTTGGATTTGCTGCATTCTCATTTGATCTTCAAAACGGGTATGATTTTCGCAAGAAGGAAGATCGTAACTATGTAGCCCAGTTGTTGCGTGACAAACCTCCTGAACTACTTGTCTTGAGTCCTCCATGTACTCATGAAGGTGGCTGGCATAATTTAAATGAACTGCATATGTCTCCTGCCACAGCCTTGAAGAAGCGGTTGGAGAGTAGGATGTACATCCGGTTCTGTTGTCAGCTATTTCAACAACAGGTGGAATTGGGGAAACGTGCCGTTTTCGAACATCCATCTGGTGCCCGAACATGGTCATACGCTGAGATGCAAGCCCTGTTGCGCAAGCATTTTTGGTGCAAGTGTCATATGTGCATGTATGGACTGCGACTTCCTAAGCATCAAAATCTCATTCGCAAAAGCACTGGCTTGTTGGTGTCACATGCCGATATGCAGAGTCTTGGTAGGTGTTGCCCAGGGAAGTCACATCCGGATCACACCTGTCATGATGTGATAGCTGGGTCAGCCCCCGGCATTGGTAGGATCAGCACCTTTGCTGGTCAATACACTCCAAGTTTTGTGGATGCCGTGCTCCGAACTGTGCCAGTTTTTGAGAAGTCAGCCAAACAACAGCTGATACAGCTGGCCGATGCTACGGAGATCCATGAGTGCGAAGTGTTAGTATCTGCCAAGCAAGACTTGCACTCCCCCGATGATGAGACTGTTCGGAAAGCACTCACCAAGGTCCATAAGAATTTGGGACATCCTTCGACTTCCGATTTGGTACGTGTGTTGAAGCATGGAGGTGCAAGTGACAAGGCTTTGGAGATTGCTCGCGCTCTAACATGTGACTTTTGCAGAGCCCAAGCTCGTCCGCATGTGCCGCTTCCAGCGAAAACTGGACGCCATACCAGGTTCAATCAGTGCATTGGCATCGATGTGAAATATTTGACTGGTTGGAAACAAGGTCAAAAGATCAAGGCTGTTAACATCGTGGATCAAGCGTCATGTTTTCAGGTCATGGTTCCTTTTCATGAAAGAGAAACATCAGCGCTGTTGCGAAACATCATTGAAGAACATTGGATTCGTTGGGCAGGACCCCCCGAAACTGTTGTGATGGATCCAGCTCCTACTATGTTGGGTGAGGGTTTACAGTCCTTGTTTGAAGCTGATGGTTCTGTGACCAAACTCATCGCCGCTGAAGCACACTGGCAGTTAGGTCGTACAGAAAGTCACGGTGGCTGGTTTGGCAGGGTGTTGGACAAAGTCATTCAAGAGCAGGTTCCCAACAACAAAGAGACCTGGGAGATGTGTGTTCGACAAGCTCATGTCAAGAATCAACTCATTCAGAACTATGGTTATACTCCTCATCAATTTGTTTTTGGTCGCAATCCTACTTTTCCAGGTGATTTGTTGAATGAACCCTTGCACATCGTGCCAGCAACTGCCGGTCTTACCAATGAGGCCATTGAGCAAGCCCAGTCAATTCGCACATCAGCCCGAAAAGCCGTGATTGAGTTGCAGGACGATAAGGCATTGAGACAAGCCTTACTTGCACGGCCCCGTGTGTCAGTGGAGTTTGCTGCTGGAGAACTGGTTGCATACTGGAGAGAACAAAAGTACTCCCAGTCACAAGGAACGGTCATACAGGGTGGTCAATGGCATGGCACAGCAATGGTTATTGGAAAGGTTGGTCGTAACTACATCATCGCTCATAGGCGACAGGTTCTCCGCTGTGCTCCAGAGCAATTACGGGCAGCCACCACTGAAGAGAAAACCTTGGTTCAGACCCCTGAAGCTGAGCTGCTTGGCATCAAGGACTTGATTGAGGGAGGCACGTTTAAGGGTCAACAGTATGTGGATTTAGTTCCTGGTAGATATCCTCCCACCGTAGCGGTTGCAGGGTTTCCCATGCAGTCAGAAGTCGAGTCCACGGAGCCCGAACAAGCAGTTCCGATGTCAGTCGAACCAATGCAGCCGTCCACCAGTGATGGAACACCGTTTGCTCCCACTGATGCGCCTGATGTACAGTCGAGCCAAGAAGCAAAGGCTGAACAGAGCGAAGCTTCTGCACCGAGCCTCTTGCCCAGTGATGCTGTTATCATGCCAGGCCCTTCCGAGTTGTCCAATGCGTCTGAAGTGCCGAGCTCCTCTTATGGTCCCATTAGGCATCGAGTACATGGCAAATCAGATGAACGAGCCTTGTTTAGACCACCTGCCATGCGTGAAGACGATTTTGTTGAAATCATGAGAGAAGTTGTACCTCAACTGATCGATCAAGCCTTACATGAGACCGGAGCAGAAGCCAGCACTCGAACACCTGCGCCCAAGCGACCATTGGACACCACTGAGACACCTGAACCACCGGCGTCTCGACCCAGGCCAGAGTCCACAGCGGAAGAAACATTGTTGGTAAGTGAGATTGATGCTTGCAACGAAGACATTGATGTTTTGATTGCTGCCCATATCCAGAAAAAGACCAACAAGGAACTTCCGCATAGTGGCAATCCGACCAGTCTGCAGTCCCTAGTAAATGAATCCAAAAGCTTGGAGTGGAACACCATTTTGGAAAAGGGTGCTGTTAAGATTCACTACGGTAGAAAAGCCCAAGCGATTCGTGAAAAGTTCCCACAACGATTCATTGGTAGCCGTTTTGTGATCACAAGAAAACCCCTTGAAGAAGGTACACAGATCAATGATAGTGATCCCAGCACTTACAAAGTCAAGAGCAGATGGTGTTTGCAGGGACATTTGGATCCTGACCTTGAGCAAAAGGCCATGGATGGCATGTTGCAATCTCCCACCTTGAGCCAGCCCAGCCGAGTTCTGTTGATGCAAGTTTTGGCGTCATATGGGTGGGATATGCAGCTTGGTGATATCAAGGGTGCCTTCATGGAAGCTGGAGAATTGGATGCCAAATATCGTCCGTTGTTCGCTCGACCTCCAGCCGGAGGAATTCCCAATGTTCCACATGATGCAGTGATAGAGGTGGTTGGAAATGTCTATGGACAGAATGATGCCCCAGCGTCCTGGTTTCGCACCTTCGATTCCGAGGCCAAAGCAGCCAAATGGATTCCCTCCAAATTTGATCCCTGTTTATATACCTTGAGAGATGCTGATGGGTCTTTGGCAGGTGTCATGGGGGTACATGTTGATGATGTTGCTCTAGGAGGCATGGGCCCCACTTTCCAAAAGTCTATTGACCACTTGAAGTCCCGGTTTCCTTTCCGAAAATGGAGATTAGGCACTGGAGAATTTTGTGGAGCCTTTTACAAGCAAGATCCAAGATCCAAAGAGATTTCCATGTCACAACAGCAGTTTGCCGAAGCCATGAAGCCTGCCTTTGTTCCGAAAGGAGCCAGCCCAGATAAACCTTTGGAGTCAGCACAAATTCGTGTCTTACGAGGCATCAATGGCAGTTTAAACTGGATTGCCAACCAGTCTCGCCCTGACCTTTCTGTACAGACTAGTCTTAGTCAGCAGTGTTTTCCTAATCCCACCATAAATGATTTGCGGAATGCCAATAATGCAGTAAGACGAGCCAAACAACACAAAGATTTAACCGTCGTTTTCAACATATTGAGCCGTCTCGGTTGACTCTGTGTTGCCACTCTGATGCTGCGTTTGCCAATGTTGGCGCCCACACTCAGGCGGGATATGTGATTTCTTTTGTTGACAAAGACATCCAAAAGGGTGCTGTTTCTCCTTGGGTTCCAGCGTTGTGGCGCAGCTATAAGCTGCCCCGTGCAGTCAGCTCGACACTCGGAGGGGAGGCACAAGCCATGTCCACTGCCAGTGGCTCCACCGAATGGCTGACGCTTCTCATGCTGGAAGTTTTGGAAGGACCATTTGCCTTAAAGGATTCCCGAAGCTTGTTGCAAAAACGTTCTCCAATTTTTGCTACCGATTGTAAATCCTTATACGATCATCTTGTTTCCCCCTCTGCACCGACGTCCATTGATGATCGCAGGACTAGCATTGATGTAGTGATCAT